CGATTATTTCTGGTGCATTGAAAGATGGTCAATATACTATACCCACAAGCTTTTAATATTTGCAGGATGTAAAAACTAATGTTGCATCTTCTAGATTGAATGTTAAGAGAAAATTTGTTATTCCTGACTCACTGTATTTTTAATGTCTATTTTTGGATTGTAATCAGTCAAAATGAGATTCAAAGATTGGTCAAAGAAGATTTATAACCTAGTGAAGTAGAGGAACCTAAACCAAACTTGTGAATCCTATTTTGAAGGATAGATAACCCTAAGGGCTTAATCAGCCAAATGAAATAGACATAAAGAACAATTGGAGTCAGTACACTAACACGTGTGGTCTTATGAACATCCAAGCAAGATTACTCACGTTTTGGATAAATTTACCTAATGCAACACAAGTCTTAAATTTTTTGTATATTCTGAAAGTGTCAAGACTAATGTGGAGCACAGATTAAGTAAACTTATCAAAATACTTCGATCTAATCGTAGATATGAGTATTTCTTGGGATAGTGCAAAGACTATATGGTCAATGAGGGTGCTATGTACTAGTTTTCCGCAATTAACGCTCAGTGAATTGAGGTGTCAAATAGGAATAATAGAATTCCGCTTAACATGGTTAGATCTATGATTAGTTATGCTACATTATCTCTTTCATTTTAGAGTTTAGCCTTAACAATATTAATGCACATTATGAACTGCATTCCATCTTAGTCTGTCTCGAGGATATCGTTTGAGTTGTGTTTTTGACTAAATCTTAGTTTGAATCACATGCACATATGGGGTAGTCTTGCACATGTGCGCTTGATATAGACAAGTAAGTTGGAAACAGATCATACGCATGATAGTTTTGATAGCTACTTTAAAAAGCACTAGGATGGATTATTTTATGATCTCAATGATAAAAGTTAATTGTTTACACTCACTTTTTATCTATAGGAGGATCATATTATGGATCATATACCTAGTAGAATATTGTTAGAGAATATGGTATGAGTACCAGATGTACCACATATGAACATACTTATTATAGAGATTAAGAATTATATATGAATTCCCTATTGGTGCGTCGGCATCATTTGGTACACAGATTCATGCATCGGTACATTGATGTAGTGGGAGGATTATCATCCAATCCAATAGAATCATGTTTTTAGGTGAGACTGTTATGGATATCCCTGGTAAACATGAGTTAGACCCAGTGAGCTACACGGAAGCGTGAACCGATATGGATACAGATCGTTTTGGCAAGTTGCTATGAAATCAGAGTTGGAATCTATGTAGTCTAATAAAATCTGGGACCTTGTAAAACTTTCTAGTAGGGTGATACCTATGGAAGGCAAGTTAATCTACAAAAAGGATACCAGAAGATTTCTTAGTGAATAAATCATGAGTGTACAAGGGAATATCATTATTTTTCTAATTCTATATATATTGATAACATCCTACTCATTTAGTATGATATGGAAAGTTTTGTCATCAGTAAAGAGGTAGTTGTTCAATTATTTTGAAATGAAGGATTTTCAAGATGTAAGCTATATTTCTAGGATCAAGCTTTTGCAAGATCAGGTTAAAAGGAAAATAAGCTTATCATAATAATCCTACATTGATAAAGTTTTGACCAGGTTTAGTATGCAAAACTCAAAAAATGAGTTATTGCATTATTGACATGGATTGTTCTCTCTAGTAAGTAGTTTTCCAAGACTATCAGAAGAGCTTGAGCAAATGAGACTGGAACTATATGTTTTGGCATATAGAGAGTCTCATATATGCCATGGTCTATATCAAACAAGACATCCGCTATATGATAGGGATAGTCAGTAGATATCAGTCCGAACTCGGACTTGATAACTGGTCCGTTGTGAAAAATATCATAAAGTACCTTAGGAGAACCACTGATCTCATACTCATTTATGGATGTGATGATGTGGTTCCAGTCAAGTATGATAGTTCTGTTTTCCAATCAGAAGTAGATACTATGAAGTTCATGACTTAGTGTATGTTCACTCGATGGAGGGGAAATCAGTTAATAGATTATTAAGTAAATTTCAACTGCTAGCTCAAACCTGAAGGTGGAGTACATTGCAGCCTTAAAGGCAGCAAAGGAAGCCTTTTGGTTTGATCTCACTGATTTAGAGGTTGTAGAGCATACTAGCCTGCCTATCGAGCTATATTGTGACAATAGTGCAGAAGTAGTCCAAACCAATGATCCAAGGTTCCATAGAGGAACAAGATACACTGAGAGGAAAGTATCATGTCCTACATGATATTATCCGGCAAGAAAATATGCTCGTGGCTAGAACATTGCATTGGAACACAACTTTGTTGATCCATTAACAAAGGTGTTATCGATCAATAATTTTGATCATCACCTGAATAACATTAGAGTTAGATGCAATTTGAATTGGCTATGAGGGCAAGTGGGAGCTGTTGGAATTTATATGCCCTGGCATAGCAAATTCTTATCTGGATTATAGTGACATATGTTCCTAACGTTTCTGAAATATTTATGCTTTATACAATTGGTGAATTCATTGTATTATGTTTTGTTTCATTATAGAATTGATAGTGTCCACTTGATTACAAGAGATATTTATATATGTATATGATGGCGTTAATACATGAATATAAATAGTAATCATAAATTGTTCATAGTCGGTAATTATGGATGGACTCATAATTAATTAAGACCTAAACTGGATCCGCGTTAGGTTGAGATATATTGCGAGAGCCGTCGTACGCAATTGCTCCCTATCACCATCATGGTATTTGACTCTTAAGCATGAGAAAAGTATAAACTCTTTTATTAATTAATAATTACTTTGATTTGTTCGGCGGATATTTCGGGATCCTTAGACCGACACTTTGGGTAGTTATGTAATTAATAGTTAGAGAGTTATATTTTCAATATTTGCATCATTGCTACTTGTATTTATTTTGTATTGATTATGGTTGATCACAAAGTAAATTCGAAGGCCTTCGTGTGTTTTTAGACAAAATTAATTATTATTTTTGTCAAACAAATGTTTTATTGTGATCGAACCAGAAATAATCAAAGGTATCAAAATAAATATATTAATTAAATAGTCGGATTGATGGCTTTATTTATCCGATAACTAATTATGCATAGAAGGGTCAAAGTGCAACATTGACTTAGAGGTTATTTATTATTTAATTGGAGTTCAATTAATTTCTTTTAGTGGAGTAGAAATTAATTTATGAATTAATTGAATCGAGTTCATGGATCGGGCCAAATATTAATTCATTGTAGCCAATAAAATAATAAGCCCAAAGGATTCTCACTCATAGCCCAACTTGATATTGGAATCCTATTAGATTTGAGACATGGGAATTAGAGATTGAGAAGGATTTATTGTTTCTTTTTCCTTATCTTTATGTTGTCTATATATATACATGGTTTATGTATATTTTAGGGGTGATTTTTAGTAGAAGGAAAAAGATATATATATTTTATCTCTCTAGAAAATTAGGGTTAATGTTCTCATCTAATAGAGGCTCCCACAAACCTAGTTTTTCAAGGTCATTCATAGAGGCTTATGAGTGATTTCTAATGACAAAACAATTACCAAGAAGATAGAGATCCAAGGATAAGGTATCTTGCTAAGGGATTTATAATAAGTAAGAACATTCACTTTAGAGGAAAGATTTAAAAGTTTACTCATACCTTTGATGTAAGTATTCAATTTATTAATTGAATGATACATCATATTTTATTTTTGCATAAAATTTGTCTCTAAGTGATGAATCAAGATCTATAAATCAAAATCTTTCTAAAAGTTTTTAAAACTTGTACGTTTCCCAACAAACATATCTGGAACATACTCAATATAATAGTTTGTTCATATTTCCAAGATAGACCTAGTAATTTTGATGATATCAAACTATTAAATACCATTGGAGGTGACCTATTTGATTTGAAAATTTTCTAAATAAATAAAATAAAACAAGAAGAAGAAGAAAATGTAGTTGTATTTGTAAATACGGTTAGATCATGACCTGAAACAGAACCCCTACATATTCCAAAGAGCCGAGTTACTCTTGCCGAGTCGGGAGGCCTGACAAGATACACAAGGGTCTCTATGGATTAGGCACAAATACTATTTTCCTATTCCAAAGTTGGTGTAGAACTGGGATATGCATGCATATAAAATATTGACAATATTGAGGAGGTCCAAAACAGATGAGCTAGATAATAATGGGATAGGATTGAAATGCATTTAAGACTTGTCAAGGGTGCACTTTGAGGTTGACCATGAAAGCACACGCCAGCTTTTGAACCAAAATTTTATTACAGAGGCTTCTCTCTGTCTCCCTTTCTGGCATTAAGCTGTATAATCGAAGGGCAGGAGATACCCAAGAATGAGCTGCAACTTGCAAACAGTTGGGTTGGGTTGGGTTTGCCAATCCTAAGTCGAACATATTGGTCCCATTGGTGTCCTCCTCACCCTCGTCGAGTGTCTCTCCCCAGTCATGCCTAAAATTATGTGGATCCAAAGGCCTTAGCTTTCACATGATTATCAATGGTGTGGGGTCCAATCAGTGCTCCCTTTCTCCACCACATACTCAACAATATTTATATGTTACTCTATAAGCAAAAGATTAGCATGAGATGCAACTCATGATATGGTCCGTTTCTTTCACTTTTTTAAATAAAATGTTTAAGAGTTCAAATCTATGTAGACACAAATAAATAAGGTTAATATATGAATATATTTTTTATTAAGGCAAATATATATATATATATATATATATATATATATATATATTAAACTATTCTTTAAATTAAAGTTATACCAACACAAATTTGACAATTCTATTTTGTCTAAAAAATTATACATAAATTAAGATAAAATAAAAAGGGAATTAAAATCTGTCTCTTTATAAAAATATTTAATCAACAATATCTTCATGACTCTTATATCACCAATTGGAGGGTACTAGTGTTGCCGATATAGGATTTTGATCCCCTGGAGGACCTCAAAATGCCATAATGAGGTTCGCATCATTATAACATTTCTCCAATGTAAAATGTCGCGAGTAATCGTTTCACACGTTGGTTCCTACCAAACACCACTTTTGATTTGAAAACACCTTATCAATTGGGGATTCAATTAAATGCATCTTCCTGTCCGTCCGTAACCTCTCTCCTTGTGTTTTTCTTCCCTCTCGGTAACTACCACCCTCCTAACCATCTGCTAACCACACTCTTTCAATGCTCTCTTTCACTATCCTCTCTTTTTCTCTCTCATAAATACACATCCACCGAGCCTCCTTTCACCTCCAAATCTCCTCTCTCTCTCTCTCTCTCTCTCTCTAATTTCTCTCTCTAGATCAAAAAACACCATGTCACCTGTGGCAGCAACTTTGTTCAATGGGTCCTCCAAAAACACGACGGTCTGCGTAATGGACGCGTCGGGGCATCTGGGCTCGACCCTCGTCCAACGGCTCTTGCAAAGAGGCTACACCGTACACGCATCGGTTCAGAACCATGGTTAGCTTCTTCTTCCTTACTTTCTGAAATGAAAAAATGAAAACCCAGTTGAACCGAACCGGCCGGTCTGGTGGAGCCCGTGAATATCGGGAATCCATCCTTGATACAGCTGGTTCAAATTCAATAATGGGTTTTACATTTATTATCCATCTGTTCTGTACGATTATGGTCACACACTACTTTTTTTAGTATCATTTACACTTCATTTGTGTTTTTTTTTTTTTTCTCAAAAAAATTAAATAATATAATTGTCTTTCAAAAACACTAAAAAAAAGTATTCTTAAGTTGTTTTGGAATTGAAATTGGATTTCGAAATTTGGGATTTAAAAATAAGACTAAAATTGTAGCCGAATATCTACATTTAAGGACTAAAATCTAGTCCGTTAATTGTTGATATTTTGCAAGGGATTTACGTTGGGCTTTTTGTTTTATGGTTGCCCTTATAGTTCTTGTTTGCCGATGGGCTGTTTGGGCTTAAGGCCTTTCTTGTAATTCAACTCACTTTATTAATACAACTTGCTTAAACTTTTAGAAAAAAAAATTTGAGTTAATTAAAAATCCAACTCCCCTAAAATTCAACCATTTCTTATTATTATTATTGTGTATTTTGAGATTCTATATCATTTCTAATTTAATCCAATTTTTTATTTACATTCATTTCAAATAATAGGAATCTAAGTTTATATCTCAAATATTGTCAAATCCCAAGCATGGTTGTTACACTCCACTTTCAAGGGATAATTTTGCCATTCTTGTTAGAAAAATACTAGTATAGTGACAATATCATATATATATATATATAGGAAGAGGGATATGTCTATACACAAACACACAAATATATATATATATATATATATATATATATATAGGTGTGCATATTCTAATAATCTAGCTTTGCGCGGTGCATTTTCAGGTGGATTGAAGTGTTTTGAGGGGGTAGGTTGTGATAACAAGAAATTAAGAGTATTCCATTTAGACCCATTGGATTACCACAGCATTATGGATGCATTGAAGGGATGTTGTGGATTGTTTTACTCCTTTGAGCCTCCCTCAGACCAGCCAAACTATGATGTAAGTACATTTAATTAATTTCTTTATTTATGCATCTAAATAAATATTTTTTAAATTCAGTCAACCCTCAATAATACACTATGCTCAATTTTAAATCCATTGTCAGTTCATATACTAAAAATACCCTAAGAATTGTTTTGGCAAAATTAGCAAAAAAAACTTTTACCTATTTTTCTCATTTTTCAATATGGAATTTATACTAAATTTTATATCTAATTTCTGACCATGCCCCTGATTTCTAGACTCATTTTATATTTATTTTGTTCTCACTTCTCATTATGGGAGTACATTTTTGCAACATGGAATTCACACTTTAAAATTAGATTTTTTTTTTTTAAAAGAAAAAAATAGAAACTCTTTCAGTAAGAAAGACTTTTGGTACCAATCACTTACAAACCACACACTATTTGAATCAAGTGTCAATTGGTAACTATTTGTTGAGACCTACATCACACAATCCTTCTCAAACAGGTTTCGCTTTCACTCTTCGAGCGCGCTCTCGCTCTCACGCCCCACGCACGTTCGCACTTAAATTCTTAGTGCACTTAACTTAATTGGTACCAAAAGTGAGACCCAAAGGCTCAGTTTGGTAGAGTGAAAATGGGAGGAAAGGGAAGGGAAAGTGATGGAGGGTGATTAAAAAATTATATTTGGGTAAAATTGGTGGAAAGAAATGAAAGGAAGGAGAGGGAAGGGTTTGGAGGGTTAACACAAGGCTTCTACGGTAGATTTCTTATATATATATATATATTAGGGTTGTTTTTTTTTTTTTTTTTTTTATTTTGCAAATATTACATACTTAAATTTATAAATTTTTCTTTTAAAAATTAAAAGGGTATAATAATAAATTTACTAAAATACTTCCCTTTTCTTTCTTTTCCCAAACATGATCATTATCCTTTCCTTTCTTTTTCTTCATTAACTAATCAAACACGACAGGAGGTTAAAATTATCCTTCCCTTCCCATTCCCTCGTAACTAATGTTATCCTCTCTCTTCAAATCCACCGTACCAAATATAGCCAAAATGTCTTCTTCTAACATAGGGGGATCAGGTGAATTTTTTTCACACAATGTGCATATAAGTTGACAATGGTATATATATATAAATATAATATATATGTATATAATATATAAATGATATGTGTGTTGGTGTAGGAATTTATGGCGGAGGTAGAGGTACGAGCAGCTCACAATGTACTGGAAGCGTGTGCACAAACAGACACCATAGACAAGGTTGTGTTCACGTCTTCTGTAACAGCTGTTGTTTGGAAAGGTGACCGTAACACATTACAATCCGATGTCGATGAAAAATGTTGGAGTGACATTAATTTCTGCAAAAAATCTAAGGTACTACTCCTTCATGCCTCCTCTCTTTTTAGTCTACATGTTCCACACACTATCTACGGTAACACTCATTTAATTATGACTAATGACACTCATTTAACATAATGTTTTTGATAGGCTTAAGGGAATGTTTGATTGGTTATTTATATAAAATACATATAAGTAGAAGGTCATATTCCCTTATTTATTATATAGATGTTCAATTAAAATTTACTGAAATGTAAAAATTATTTTTCTTTAATTATTGAAAAAGTGAATTGATAGACCTACTCTTTTAATTGATCAATTATGTAACAAATAAAAAAGTAGAGCCTTTCACTTAGTTATATTTAGTGGTATTAATACCTCATTAAAAATTATTCGATTAGGCAATTCATGCAAATGTTCGGTGTCAGTATCATTACTCATAAGTATTATTTACATGTTACACACACTATCTTCTCTCTTTTATTGTGTGAGCATCACTACTCTTAAAACAAATAATACATTGGATTTTGAATTGGACAATTACTACTTTAGTTCTAAAATAAACTTTCCACTTCTGACTGTACCAAAATAAATGTCCCATTTAAAAAGTTAATGTTGTATTTTCTTTTTTTGGTAACATTATCAAGTTTACATTCTTATGGATGGCAACAGAGTTGGGTTGGGTTTGGTTTGGTAAAATAATACGTTGCCCCATTAAAAAATTGTCATACCAATTCCGCGCCTTACTCCGGTATGAATTTGTAATTGGTTTATCATCTTCACCCTTACTCCAGCAGACCAAGTACCGACTCCACCATCACATACTCCGTTTAATTGTAGGGCGGCTTATGCCATTTTTATTATTTAATAAAAAATAATAATAAATAAAAAAAAATTTGTTCAATGTGCTCCAATTGGGATGATAAATAAACTAGTACAATTTTTAAATTACTAAATATTAAAAATTGAAGTAATATATTAAAAGTAACAAGGATCTTAAAAATATTAAATATACATATTTTAGATATATATATATATATATATATATATATATAATTTATAGGTACATATATATAATCGGGCAGAGTCGTGGCGGGTTAGGTTTATCATTAAATCTGCTTTTAATCCGTTTCGAGTTTTTAATTATTTTACCATACCTGTTTCAAACCCATTTAGAGGGCTACCAAATCAGCCCCAATAGGAACGGGGCGGGGTGGAAACCCGGATCGAGAGAAATTGCCATACCTAAACCTTCTTATATTGAATTTATAAAAAATAAATCATCACATTCAGATTTGATAATTCATTCACTTTTAATATAATAAAAAAATATTAAAATTTATTATTTTAAAAGTAAAAAAAGGATATTTATTTTGTAACGGGAGAGAATATTTTGAGACAATTAAAAATGGAAATGTGAACATTTGTTTGATGGAAGGAGTGTGTGTGTGTATATATATATATATATATATATATATATATATAGAGAGAGAGAGAGAGAGAGAGAGAGAGAGAGAGATTTTTTTTTTTCCTACTAAGAGAGAGATTAAACTGGTGTCGAACTTAATACAATTGAAGGTTTTGGGTGGAAATGAAAGTAGTAAATTTATACGTGCAGTTATGGCATGGTCTATCGAAAACACTGGCAGAGAAGACCGCGTGGGCCCTAGCAATGGACAGAGGAGTGAACATGGTGTCCATCAACTGTGGTTTGTTGATGGGTCGACCCGATCTCACCATCACTGACCCGTATTTGAAAGGAGCGGCTGAGATGTACGAAGATGGTGTGTTTGTTACCATGGATCTCAGGTTCATGGTGGATGCGCACATCTGCGTCTTTGAAGACGTCTCATCGTACGGACGATATCTCTGCTTCGACCACGTCATCAACTGCCACAAAGATGCCCTTGAGCTCGCTCACATGCTATTGCCGCCCACAACATCATCACCAGCTCATAGGTAAGCACTTTGTCGACACAAAAAAATAATAATAAATAAAAAAATTATATACTTAAATACTTAGACAAATTAAAAAAAAAAAAAAAAAAGAGTAGAAAATTGTTAATAGTTATTTTTATATGGAATTTATTGTAAGTCATCTCCTCTTTCAGATTTTTACTTGAACATAATTTACTTCTTTTTATTTATTTTATTTTCAAGACATGGTAATATTGAGAAGTGTGTCAAAAGTGATACTCCGTATTTTTTATTTATTCATGTTGGTTGTTTATTTGTCTTGCAGTTTGGCGGACAGCAAAGTCTACCAACAGAGGATAAGCAACAAGAAACTAAATAAATTAATGGTGGATTTTGATAGTGGGGTTCAACTTGATTGATTGGCATTGACGGTGAGATGGCAATCACATTCTATGAGAAAGAGGTTGTCCAGCGTATATATATTGGGGATTTTGGTGACATTTATTTACTAGGATTAGATTTGCAAGTGACAATTGTTGACTATATGATTTTTTTTTTTTTTTTTTTTAAGTTGATGCCCTGAATGGCCGAATGATTGATTATGGTGATGTAGCAAGGAGAGTGATGTTTATTAGGTAGGTGATTAAAGATGATAGATCCATTGAAGTGGAGCAATGATGATGACTTTTGGTTATCACTAACAATGAACCTGGTCCAATCCATTAATTATGCATTTGGTGGTTGACCTGGGTGATGAATGTACCTCCATTTACCGGATTCATTTAATTTAACTCACTTTTGTGTTTTCATCAACCAAGTTCAAGCAACTTGTCCATCACTTTACAAAATATAGTGGTCTAGTTCTTTATTAGCTATTTTCAAGTGTATAATGCTATATTGTTACCTTCTCATCCAATGCCCTGGAAAGGCATACAATATGGGCATTAAATTAGCTTGCCACCCATGATATTCTTTGGTAAGCCTGCTCAGATTATAACTTATAAAGGATCCCATGTCACAAAAGATCCAGCTCGGGTTTTCCATTGTCATTTTCAATTGGACAAAAAAAAAATATGGTGACTGTTGATGCATGTTTCTGCACTATTTAAAAGTAAACGTCTTTTTTATAAAAGATGAAAGAAAGTAAAAGAAGTTATCCAGACAAACATCAACGCGGTGTTAATTAGATACTCTCCAATTATTAAGTCAGTCTTTGGACCATTCTGTATGGAAGTATACCTTTTAGGTTGATTGTCCCCTCCTTTTATGGGGGGTAGTATTGGAATTATCCCTAACACTTGTTGTCATTTGTCTCTAAAGGAACTGTACCGTCACTTTTCCCGTTGAGAGCTAAGATATCACTTCTTGCTTCATTTTGTAGGCAACATCAAATTCCTGGCTCATTTTTTTAAGTAACCTCAAAGTGGTTACCACTCTATTCCATTAATCCAAGGAAAAAATCATTTTTGTTCCAATTTGTTGTGTTGCAGTCAATTGTTCAATTTGTTGTGTTGTAGTGAATTGTCAGGCCTATTTATTTTAATTGGTTCACCTATGCAACAAATAAGGGAGTAAATCTTACACTTATTTTATGCATAAATAATCAATTACAAACTTCACAATAAATCGGTACCAATATCACCACTCTTAATTGAATTGCAAAAATTCTTTTTGTTTCTATATTTCCGAAATATAAGTGTGATTTTCACCGGCCATTACTTTCATCAACACGATGAATAGACGCAGTGCATCAACTACTAGAATTTCTAGAACATCTCTAACAAAGATACAAATAGAAAATTTTGAAATAATTTCATTTTCAACCTTTCGAAGACCAACCTACGACCAAGTGGGTAAATCAGGAATACCGAAACAGAGACTTTTGCTTTATGCAGTTCCTCCAATACTTTGAAACTCTGATCTAAAAGTCTCAACAAACTAATAGATTATAAAAGTTTAGAAACCATAAATTATGTCGCCATAACTGAAATTGAAGTAAAATAATGTCCCCATTCATTTATTTACATTAATATTATATGAATTTCTCTTTTCGTTCTGCATCAAGCTTTTCCGAAGAGATAATAAAGTACATAACCTAACTCATCTGAAATCATTTTCCACCATAATATATATAGGATACTTGCATCACATATACAACATTGATAAGACAATATCAAAAACAAAGATAGGAATCCAAGGGTAACAATTTTTACATCCTCCATATTGCAATCATGTTTACTCAGCCGAAACATTCTCAAGCACTCAGTGACATGGAAATGATTGCCGATAGCTTGAATTTCCGTACTTCGGTAGAGTTTTGGGGCCGAAATAGAGCCTCAGTACTTGATCTAACAGTTACTTCCTTACACTCGGAAGCTGAAGTCCCTTCACTTCGGTAGTCACGAGGAGAGTAAAGAACTTGAAGATTTGAATGGGCTGCATATTTGTTGGACAACAAAAAGTTAAACAGATGGGAAAACATATAGCAGAAATATGACTGAGAGATGAATCCATATGATGAAAAATCTTCATGTACTTGTACTAAATGAAGGTTTATCAGGTTATTGGCTCAGAGCTGGAGAAACTAGAACTTTGATGTTTTCATTGTTGAATGCACCATCTGTGGCCCAGTTTCAGGCACAAGGTAGATGCACTTGGTCATCCTGTTTAGTTCAAAATGGGTGCATTCGAGCGTGAGTCCACATGGACTCGAAGTGTGAGACCATCCCTATATGGACCGGAACACTCTGGAGAAAATTAAGCGAGTTCGGAAGCAGCAATGCCTCTTCCCACCAAAGGGCTTTTGGCCTAATGATATAATTGTTGGGATATGTGTGCCCTAGCATAACAAATTCTTATTTTCGATTGTAAAAGTCATGATTCCTTATCTGAATATTATTATTAAAGCATTATACAATTGGTGAATGGAATGTATTATTTTTCGATTCATTATGGAATTGATTGTGTCCACTTGATTATAAGATATATTTATATATGTATGTAATGGCAATTAATACTAAGTTATAAATTAGTAATCATAAATGGTTCAAAGTCAGTAATTATGGATGAACATTTAATTTGTTAAGACTTGAACCGAGTCCACGATAGATTGAGATATATTACGAGAGTTGTCGTATGCAATTGCTCTCTATCACAGTCATGACTTTTGACTCTCAAGCATGAGAGAAGTATAGACTCTTTTATTAATTAATAATTACTTTGATTTGTTCGGCGGATACATCGGGATCTTTAGATCGGCACTTTGGGTAGTTATGTAATTAATAGTTAGAGGTCTATATTATCAATATTTGCATCAGTGCTTTTTGTATTTATTTTATTTTGATTATGGTTGATCACAAATTATATTCAAAGGCCTTCGTATGTTTTAGACAAATGTTTTCTATATATATTTATTTAGTAAATTATTATTTTTGTCAAATAAATATTTTATTATGATCGAGCCAGAAATAATCAAAGGTAACAAAATAATTATATTAATTATGTTGTCGGATTGATGGCTTTAATTATCCGATAAACAATTATGCACAAAGGGGTCAAAGTGCAACATTGACTTAGAGGTTATTTACTATTTAATTGGAGTACAATTAATTTCTTTTAGTGGAGTAAAAATTAATTTATGAATTAACTGAATTGGGTCCATGATTTAATGGACCGGACCAATTATTAATTTATAGAAGCCAAGAAAATAGTAAGCCCAAAAGGATTCTCACCAATAGCCCAAAATGATAATGGAGTCCTGTTAGAATTGAGAAAGTTGAATTAGAGATGGAGAATGATTTAATGTTTCCTTTTTCTTATTTTTATGTTGCCTATATATACATGGGTCCATGCATATTTTAGGTGTGACTTTTAGAACGAAGAAAAAGGAGTACACTTTCTCTCTTTAGATTTTAGGGTTTGTTTTCTCTTCCAAAGGAGGCTACCACAAGCCTAGATTCCAAGGTCATTCATCAAGGCATATTGGTGATTCCTAAAGGGAAGATTATAATCAAGAAGAAGGAGAAAGGATCTTGCTAAAAGGATCTACAATAAGTGAGAACATTCACTTTAGAGGAAAGATTAAAAGGTTTACTCAGACCTTTGATGTAAGTATTCAATTTGTTTATTGAATGATATATCATCTTTTATTTGTTTCTGCATAAAACTTGTCTTTATGTGATGAATCAAGATCTATGATTGCAAATCCCTCAAAAGTTTTTAAAAACTTGCACGTTTCCCAACAATAATCTCCCCATCCTCAAAGAAGAGGACAGGGGTTCGAGCCCCAGCATGAACAAAGTGTGTGCGAGTAAACTTACCTGATTAAAAAATTAAACTCGAGACCTTTGGCTCTGATACTACGTTAACAACCATTTACTCCAAAAGCTTAAGCTGTTAGAGAGGGTGCAACTTAAATACATAAATCCTTCAACACGCCCCCTCACGTGTGGCCTTCTTTTGGTCAAACACGTATTTTTTAATTTTTAATTAGGGTGATGGTGAGGTTTGAACTCAAAGACCTTTGGCTCTAATACCATGTTAACAACCATCTACTCCAAAAGCTTAAGCTATTAAAGAGGGTGTAACTTAAATATATAAATCCTTCAACAAATCTCAATATACTTCGTCATGTCACACCTAAGAAGCACGGAAACGAATAAGGTGTTGTTGACACAAAAGAACCCTTTCTCTTCTCCGGAATGGAATGAGGTGTAGGGAAGCTATTTCTTGAAGGAGAAAGGCTATTCCCCCAGAAACAAGCCTTCCACTTCCAGTTTAACAGCTATAGGCGGAATAAGGGTTTCCCCGCGAGTGTGAAAAAGAAGCGGATTTTGCTCTTCTATTTTGTTAAAGGCTAGGGTAAGAAAAACATATTCCAAGAAGAGGTTCAAAAGAGGAAAACACAATTGATCAATTTCCTTTTCACCTTGCGGGTTCTTTGTTAACAGCGACTCTTGAATCTTGGGAGAATCTGCCTCGGGACACACAGATATGACACGACATAACACGAATATGACACCACAAATCTTAAAAAATTAGGACACGAACACAACAGGGACACTGCGAATAATATATATATATATATATGATTTTGTACTTTAAGAAATTAAGAGTACAAAGAAAGAATAATAGAAAGAGGGTTAAGGGAAAAAAAAAAAAAAAAGTGGATTAGATTTTTGTTAGAGAAATAATTAAGGCGTAGTTAAAATAAAGGTAAGAATCCAAAGAAGAGAAAAAGTTCATCGAAACGAGAGGAAAAAGGAAACAGAGAAAAAGAATTTTGTTGTGAAAGGAAAAAAAGACGTATCCAGGGTTTGTGAAGAAGAAGAGAGAAAAGAGGAGAAAGAGGGGGAGAGAGAGAGAGACCATCCACGGGTAGAAAAGCTTGGTCGTTGGGAGAATAAGAAAGAGTGAAAGATAATCGTGCCAGAGTTTGAACCTTTGAACTAAAATATAAGCATAAATATATGATTAATTTAATATAAAATTATTTTAAAAACAACTACTTTTAAGTGATTATGTAACGACTATCATACTACTGAAAGTTATTACTCCTCATATTTACACTTCAACCTACCTTTCTTTTCTAAAACTTTCTCAAGAATCCCCAAGAATCCCTTATAAAAAAAATAAAAAATAAAAAATCCCCAAGAATGGAACATGCGTGTTCGACACGTATCTGTTAGGGTTTCACACATAAGGACGGACCTATGTGCAAGTGAGGGGGGCAATTGCCCCCCCTGAATTTTTTCATTTTTATTATTATACCATGCTTTTTTTTTTTTTTTCTTTTTTCAATATATACCCATAAAATATTGCTAATGTCCCTCCTGAAATTATTAGAAAATTTCAGTCCTGCCCCCCTTACCTAAAGTTCTAGGTCCGCCCATGTTCACACACACAATTGGCAAATATAACAGATAAAAAATCACACACGCAAACAAAAGCTAGATTTAAGTGGTTTGGCAAATTACCTAGTCCAAGGGCGAAGAAAGACTAACTTTATTTCCAAAACTTGATTGCACACTTTTCTCTCTCACAATCTCAACTCTCTTTTTCTCTCTCTCATACCCATCTCGATTTATCGAGTCTTCAAACCAATTCCTTATTGGACAAGGATCAACTTGCTTACAAGGAGTGACCATATTAGTCTTCAGCTCTAAAATAGAGATACTACTTCCCTAAATCTATAGCTTTTTTTCCCAAGTCTTCTGGCCTCCAAAACCAATTAGGAAACTGTTTGTCGTACCTTCCAATAACTCACCGTCCAAGTTGAACCGGTTTAACTTTGGCAGTAGCCAAAGCCAAAAAAAAAAAAAACTACACGCCCAGGTTGAACCAGTTCACCCCACTTGAACCGGTTCAACTCTGGCTGTAGCCAAAGATAAGCCAAAATACGTGATCAACACGTGTTCCTCCATAACTCTACCTTAACTAAATATTTCTCCACCTCAAATAAGGTCCTATGATGAAATTGAGAAATACTCTAACAATCTCCACCTTTTCTCAAATTCATCATTCTTCTTCTTGTGGTTCTTCGCCGCACCACCATACTCATATACTCTTAGCAAATTCCAAGTTCAAATAATTAAACTTGGTATCCACTTTCGCATCACCAAATTGAACTCTTTGTGCTTTTGGGATAAAGGGTGGTGCTCTTGCAATTGTCAAGACTTCCTTCTCTTTCTATTCTTGATTCTTCATTCTAGTAGATCTCGAAATAGGCTTCCATTCCGTCTTTGGAATTGCTCCACCCAGTATAAAATTTCCTAACAGAATATAGAGATTGTTGACCTTCCTTCCCAAAAGCATGACACGTGGCCCTCTTTTAATATTTATCAATTCATTTCACATCAGCAACCTTTGGAATCCAATGCTCCCACAGAGATCACATTCCTTCTTACACTTGGAATATGGCATACAATCGTTAGAGTTCTTACCAAGCCATTCGTTGTCTTGATTTTAATTGTTCCAATTCCCATAATATCGATAGAGGCATTATTCCCCATAAATACCTTACCACCTATAGATTTGTAGGTAGCAAACCATTCTTTATGAGGACACATATAAAAGGAACAAGCAGAATTAAGTATCCATTCCTTAGCTTCACCCTTATGCTATGTTTGGTGTGTAGGAATGGAATGCCGATTCCAACCATTCCTTTGTTTGGTATGCAATTTAAAGTGGGAATGGCCATTCCATTGGAATAAAAATCCATTCCTGAGAATGAAAATCCATTCCACAACTAATCCTATGGTATAGCCATTCCATTCCCAAGTAATTTTTTTTTAAAAATAAACTTCCTAAAAAACCCTCATGTTCTAAGTCCAAAAACCACCATTACCTTCCACCACTACCAGCTCCGCCTTACTCACCACCACCACTACCACCGCCTTCCACCACCACCACCGCCACCGCCACCGCCTTTCACCACTGCTACCGCCACTGTTTGCCGCAACCACCACCGCTACCGCCACCACCACTTACTGCCACCGCCTTCCACTACCACCATAGTCACACCACTGTCTCCTTCCACCACATTACTGCCACCGCCTTCCACCAACACCACTGCCACCTTCCACCACCGCCGCCTTCTAACACCACCACCTACACCACTACCGCTTTCCACCATCTACCACCGCCACTCCCACCATTTATTTTTAAAAAATTGTTGGAGAATGTCATTTTGTTAATTTAATTTATTTGTTACTAAGAGGGATATTTTTAGAGAATTCAATTAGAAATTTATTCCATTCTATATTTGAAATTGGTCCAACCAAACATTAGAATGATTATTATCATTCCATCCCTACACATTTTATATTTACAACCAAACAATAGAATGAAAATGCCATTCTATTCTATTCCTGCACACCAAACGTAGCATCATTATCAATGATTGATAATGCTTCATCATTATCACTCTCTTCTTTTGTATCTTCAGACACAACAACGGCAACGGATGCACTCTCCTTTCTTTCTGGACAATACCACTGAATATACCCCTTTCTTCCACACTTGTAGCATCTTTTCTCTGAAAATGGCATTAGGTTTCTTGAAGCTCCAAATCTCTTCTTCTCTTGAGCAATAAGAACTTGAGCCTGAGCATAACGACTCTCTTCATCATTCAACTTTTCATTAGAGAACAAAGCACTCTTAACTTGTTCCACCGAGATGGTATCTCTCCCATAGAGCAAAATATTGAATAAATGCTAATGGGTAGAACGTACCGACGTTAACAAAATAATTGTTTTATCCTCATCACTTAACTTAACATCAATGTTAGACAAATCACAAATAATTTTGTTGAACTCACCAAGATGTTCTTAAAGGCTTACCCTTTCTTTTCTCTTGAAGGAATACAACTCTTGCTTTAAAACTATGTTTGTGAGATTCTTTCCTATATACAGATTCTCCAACTTCTTCCACATGTCCGCTACCAAATCTTCTTTTATCACATCATACACGATATCATCCACCAATGTTAATCAAATTGAACTCATTGCCTTCAAGTTGATCTTCGCCAAATCTACATCTTCCATCTTTTCTGGTTGCTTACCCAAAGCATCTTCTAGACTACGCTGAATCAGTAAATCCCGCATCTGGACTTGCCAAAGACTGAAGTTCCTTCTTCCATCAAACTTCTCGACCACGTACTTTCCATCTGTAATAGTTGTCGCCATGGCTCTGATACCACTTGTTAGGGTTTCACACACACAATTGGCAAATATAACAGATAAAAAATCCCACACACAAACAAAAATGAGACTTATGTGGTTTGGCAAATTGCCTAGTCCACGGGCAAAGAACGATTAACTTTACTTCAAAAACTTGATTACACAATCTTTTCTCTCCCACTCTTTTTCTCTCTAAAATTTCTCTCTCATACCCATCTCTATTTATAGTCTTCAAACCCAATTCCTTGTTGGACAAGGATCAACTTGCCTACAAGGAGTTACCATATTAGTCTTCAACTCTAAAATAGAGATACAACTTCTTCCCCAAATCTATAGCTTTTTTCCCAAGTCTTCTGGCTTCCAAAACCAACTAGGAAACTGTTTCTCGTAACTTTCAATAACTCACTATCTAAGTTGAACCGGTTCAGCCCATTTGAACCGGTTGACCTTTGGCAGTAGCTAAAGCAAAAAAAAAAAAAAAAAACTACACGCCCAGGTTGAACCGGTTCACCCCACTTGAACCGGTTCAACTTTGGCAATAGACAAATATAAGCCAAAATCAGAAACTTTAAACACCCCAATTCTTCACGTAAACAACACGTGATCAAAATATGTGTTCCACCATAACTCCACCTTAACTAAAGATTTCTCTACTTCAAATAAGGTCCTATGATGAAATTGCGAAATACTCTTACAATATCCATGGTGTGTTGGACACGTGTCCATGGCGTGTCCGTGCCACATCCGAATATTCAAAAATAAAAAAATAAAAATAATTCAAACATGTTTTTTGGTGTCAGTGCGTCCGGCGCGTGTCGGTGTCCAACACGTGTCTGACAATGATTCTTTGCCCTTTTTAGGGGTGTCTGCTTCCTAGAATCACACAATTCACGGACTCACCAAGGTCTGCAGCCACAATAGTTTGCACATTCCATGTGTTATAGCCCTGTATCCCGCTTTTGCACTAGATATAGCCACCATTGATTGTTTTCCACTCCTTCATGTAATTAATTACCTCCTAGGAAGATGCAAAAGTCTAAGGTATATCGTCTATCATTAATTGAACTTGCCCAGTCTGCATCTGTGAAGGCTTCTAGTTTCAAATGACACTGATTAGAGAACAATATATCTTTACCTTGAGTGTACTTCAGCTATCTCAAAATATGATAAACCACTGTTAAGTCGGGACATGCATAAGACAGATGGGATTTTATCAATTAAACCGAAACGATATTTAATTGAAGTATGACTAGACTAAGTCCGTATAGAAACAATCAAATCCTAAGCGCAACAAGGATCATAATAGATATACTAGTTAGGATTTCAAGCTGTGATTGAAGACTGAAATTGTTGTACCTTGCTGTACTAGTTGATCACTTGATCTATTGATTGTAGCACGTGTATACAATTGATATAAGATTGCTGAAACCCTAAGAAGGACTGTGATGTTGCTGATTTACCATTTTACCCTCGAGACTTGTTGAGTTGCAAAATGAAGCTTATTGAAGTTGTCTGAGGTTTTGAGTTGCACAACCACTCTTATCTTTTGTGTATGCTCGAATATGGTTGTTATTCATCTTTTATATTGTATTTGGTGAGCTGTGAGAGCTTATAGGGTCCAAGCAGGGTTGCTTAGGACAAGGGGAGTGCTTGTGAGCACTATGTTGAGCTAGTGTGTGAGTAGAGGCTGTGAAAACTAGGGTTTCAACTTGTACATGGGTGTGTGCAAAGTGTGAGACAGCTTAGTGTGTAACTACTTGTATACAACTAGTGGAGCTTTATTGGATGTGGCCAAGAACCAATGTTTTTCCTTATTGATAGCGTTTTCCTTGTAAATGTTGTGTGTTCTTAGTTTATTGTTTTAAAGCTTTCAACCTACTACATTGTATCTATTGTAATTGACCAAACTAAGGCAAAGAAGTTTTTAATTCAAGGCAGCCCCCCCCCACCCCCCCCCCCCCCCCCCCTCCCTCCTTCGGTTCCTCAAGAGTTGAGCTTTTATCACTTGTTTCATCTAATTACTCTAGAGTGAGCTTTGATTTGTATATTTATCCATTGAGATTCATTGTTGTACTCGAACACTTCTCTATCTTTGGTTATTAGTGAAAGGGTTGGTGTAACCCTTGAGTCTAAGTGAGGGATTCACTTAGCAAGTGAGAGAAGCTTGTAAAACTTTGCAAAGGTTTGCTCTCCACCCGTTGAATGGCAGTTGATAATGGATTTTGGAATCATCAAGAGGTGCTCTTGAAGCGTGGACGTAGGTGGGGGTGCCAAAACACATTACGACTTGGTGCCATCTCTCTACGCTTTATCTCTCTTTACCTTCAGCTTGTTTATTTTCTGCTTGTATTCATATTTGTTTGCCAAAAGACCAAATTCAAACACCCCCACCCCCTTTCATGGGTCATTGTTGGGTTGGGCAACAAACAGGATATTCATGCACTATAAAAATGACGATTAAAACGGGTTTCATGCCTAGGTGAGGCATGGTAAAATGTCAAGTGATGATCAGAATCCATGAATACCTAATTAATGAATCCTCTCTGGCCTCGGCTATTAATCTACCAAGATAGACCCTATGGCATGCTAGAGAGAAAGCAGTAGCTCGAGCAGAGAGAAGGGTGTTTTAACCGATTTGGCAGAGCAGTGCCCAACCACCGACAGGGTAGTGAGATCCAACTGGATCACACAATTTGTAGATCTTCAGCATTTTTTATTTTTTCATCGAAAGCTTTGTCAAACAATTCCACAGGCAGGCCCTAAACAGTGGATTCAAGTAAAGAGTTGGGACAAGGCCTCTTATAGAGAACTCAATTCCCTCACCTCTCTTATTTTTCTGATGTGAGATAACTTAAAAGTGGAAAACGGTCAATGTAAAATCATTTCAGTTTCAAAAAATGAGAAATGCCCAACTAATTGAAACATGCAAACCCAGAAATTGACATGTATGGTACATTTCAGCATCCAAGAATCTCAAGCAAACTCTTAACCCTGAAATCTGAGCCTCTAATTCCTCTCTTCAAATTGATATATTTAATCACATAAGCATAACTATCCGATATTAGGGAAAGCAGCAGAAAGTCGGAAATTACCTAAACCAAACATGCTTGACTTTTGGATGATCAGACGACTAACTTTTGATCTCCTGATATTTTTCAAAGCCTGGATATCATCTTGCTTCCCTTTGAACTCCAAAAATTCTCCCAGGAGATTTTTGTTACCTTTAAGCTCCAATCTGTAAGGCACGGGAAAGAACTTTGTTTTCTTTTTCATGTGACATGCAACATAAAGAGAAGGAAATAACAATAAAAACTCAAGACACACACTTATCAGAAAAATAAAAAATAAAAAAAATAAAAAAAATAAAAAAATAAAAAAATAAAACACATAGCAACATAAACAGACAAAAGGAAATCTAAAATCAGAGTATTAAAAAATGCCAAGTTGAAACCAGGAGATGGACTTGGTTGACCTGTGAGAGTAACATATAGAACAAGCAATATACCCAGAGAAAATGAATCACCAGAAGCTCACATGGTCACTTGTTAAATGTAGTTCTACAGAAATACTTCAACAGATAACTTTTGATGGCAGAGAAGCTAACAGCATTAAATCATATTCCATGAAGCGCTGGCCAAGCTTTACAACATGGTCAGTTTTCCACATAAGGGAGACTGTTTCAGACCTAAATTGATGTCATTTATATGGTCTATATGCAGTAATTTGGCAAGGTTTACATTCATGGCTGTGTTTGCAATTTGGTTTCAGGAGAAGTTGCAGTCCATCTAATGTCATTATTTTGAGCGAGTTCACAAATTTAAAAATAAAATAAATAAATTATTAACCGGTTTTCTATTTGTGCATTTCTTTTACAAGGTTTTCTTGTTTAACAGTTTAATTGGGATTTTCAGTATGTTATCTTAAATAGAAGACAAATTCAATAATCAGTTTCCATTAATGATACTGGGAGTGAGTGATCTCTTATTTTTCCTTGTGGATTGAAGGTTCCTTGTGAATTCGAAGACTCCTAGTTGATTATAGGATTCAAGTGACATCAAGTTCACCTTTATATTCTTCCAATTATGCCAAGTCTGCAAACTAGAAGGCATTATTTTTTTTTTCAAGTAAAGTATTATAGACAGCACTTAAAAAGGGAGCACATCCAAATAACTACACAAGGGCCAAATAGGGCCCCTAGACACTCAAAAGTATTCACAAAGGCATGCTTAATCTAGTACGTGTGTACTGCTTTCTTCTGCTCATTCCCCTAAACCTTAATTTCTAATCACTTCTTTACATAAACCTCAGTCACCCTCAACACACTTCATTATATATTTTTGTTAACTCAACTCAATTCAACAAAGCCTTTTTCACATGAATCCTTTTTCACTATTCTGCTGTATAGCCTCTATCTAAGGTTGCAGCCCCATATAAGCCACATGTTATCACATCTTTCATGGTATCTCAACCATTTTAGTTTTGGCATTCCCCTTTCCCTAACATTACCCTCTCCCTAACATTACCCTCAATAAGGACCAAGCAGTGCGGCTATTCACCGTCTTACTAGAGTTTGAACTGCAAAATCATCTTGCGTGACAATCAATGGCAAGATCTGTAGTGCACAATGATATCTTGGGAAAACCATCAGCATTTTATATGAACAGTAATAAAATCATGCTGGCAGGATAAACATCAACAAACCTGTCCCATACAGGAGCCGTTCTGAGGATGAAATTAAGATTCTGATGTATCGATTCCTGCATTTCTTTCTTTTCACTGCGAAACACACCTTTAATCCAACCAGAAAATGTGCTCTCCAGCTCTGGTTTCAATTGTATCCACTGGTCATAAGTTATGACCTCAGACGAGAAACAGTTTGAACGAATGGTGCTTCAAAATAAATCAAAATTAAAATTACTCTAAAATGCTAAGTGAATTTGAGGATGACTATCAGCCGCAAAAATAAAACAACACAAAACAAGAAAATATGCACAAATAACTTTATCAAAATTGATTACTTCTTAATTCTCATATCAGGACACAGCATATTAGATGGCATATTCATGCAAACTTCATTTACAACCCTTTCCCATCCTTGAACAATTTTTACTGGAAGATTTCTTCAGGAAGTTTTTGTCCATTGCTAAAGAAAGAAAGAATAAGCATTGACTTTCTGAACCTTCATAACAACCTACCACGATCTTCCACATTAACCCAAACCCCTCAATGATGCTGTCTTCTTCTTCACATAACCTCGGTGGCCTTATTCCTAATTACTTGGTCATGCTCCTCGGAATATCTTTTAACTAGCAATTTTCAAATTAGTTCAATAACTGCTCTCAGGAGAAGCTTTAGCCTTTATTAGTTGCTGTCATTATCATAACTGCAATATTTTATTGTATAACATTCAATGGCACGCTTTACTTTCCAACTCCTGTACTGTACTACTATATAGCCATCAGTATGCATGGGAAGATTATTGGGCATCGCATGGCTTTTTTTACCACAGTCAATGCAAAAATGAGCAGATAATTATCTCAGCCAGTGAGAATTATGAAATTGCTAGAGAAGAATATAGCAATAAAGGACACACAATAATTTCAGGATGTGCAAGCATAAGTCCAAAGGGTACAAGAAAATTAATGCTCCTCAGTTTTAGTTGAATAAAAAATACTGTTATAGAGGAATATCAAAAGGAATATTCTGATGCATACCGAAAATTCGGATTGGGACATATGACTCTACATGACAAATATCCTTCTGGAAGAGCAGCTCCCCTTTGTTCAAGATATGATTCAAGAATTGCAACTTGTCTTTTAGTTTCAGCCACCTGAATATAAATTTGCAATTGTAATATAATATTAAAGAGCATATAGAAAAGATATTTCAGCCACCTGAATATAAATTTGCAATTGTAATATAATATTAAAGAGCATATAGAAAAGATAAACAAAAGTCCTTATTTCTCATTTTCTGGCCCAAAAACCATATAGCACAATTGATTGAATCAATCATAGAACAGATATATCTACAGTGATAGAAGCACAGAGAGATATGTACTCAATACAGCAACTTTTTCAAAGAATGAAAACCCAGCAAGATGCGAAGTAGTGCAAGAAGGCTTTGTTAAAGTAACTGTTGCCTCCTCTCACCCCTGAACTTTACCAGCAAATATATCACAAATTTATCACTGATTGGGTATTTCATTTATATATACACACATATATATACACGTATATAAGTAATATTTTTTTAAATGGCGCTCAAAAGGGGAGTACATCTGGGAAAAAAACACACACAAAAAAAATAGACAACTCTATAACCTCAAGCCATCCAAAAAATCAACAAAATCCTTAAATATACAAGCCCTCCTATTATCCAAGAAAAGAAACTCAGAATAAAGCGCTTCCGCACCACAGTGGTGCTTTCTAACTGGTTTATTTCACAGAATTTTGCTCAGAAGTCTCATAGATTCATCTTATCTACAACTATTAGGCATTTATGGTATGAGATAAATTCGAGATTGCATCACAGTAAATCTAGAACAGCCTCAGATCTTGCAAGACTCATTTGGTGGGAAACATTGGATCTTATTGATATGCAGCTAGCAGACCTTTTTCGGATTTCGTTCTTTGTAGTGCACTGATGTGCTCTTTTGTTTCCAGCCTTTAGGCTCCTTTGCCAAGGGTATGTCCTTCTTGTATCCAGTTCTTTATTGTTTATCGAAAAATTTCATTATCTAGCCCAGGAAAAATAAATAAATAAATAGGGTGGGGGGGCATGCATCTCGAGTCCTCCTCCTCACTGTACATCCCCTCCAAGACTCAAGCACATCAGTTGCATAGGCCGGTAACACCCAATGCACCCCAAGACAACAAAGAACATAGCCCATACATCTCTAGTTACTGGGCTGTGCAAGAGAAGATGGCTCACTGACTGCTCATCTCTTGTTTTTTTTGATAGATAAAGAAAATATATTAAAAACACGCTCAAAAGGGCAGTGCTCCCAACACCTCATCCACAAATGTTACAGCATTAAAATCCTCCCCAAAACCACTGTTTACCCCCAAAAAAAGTCACCTTGAAGAGGGATTATTTCTTCCATATCACTTTCCAACGGAAAACTGCCGTCTAACCAGTGTCTGCTGATATAGCAAGCCAAAGAAAGATATGATTTCCTCCACCTCCGAGTCCTAGAGTCGCCTCCCAAACTACACATCCCATGTCAAACCAACAAACTCCCCACCCCCCCCCCCCCCCCCCCCCCCCCCACCAAAAAAATAAAATAACATTATCAAGACAATAATAACCGGCCACCATAGCCTGCTTGTCCACATATGTTCCTAAACAATATTGGGAATAAGCATGTGAGAGGCCTATAACCACACCAAACATCCAGCCAAAATTGAATGTGTCCCCCACGCCTAACCTTGAATTGAACATGCTTGGAACACACAACTCAACCTTTATGAATATTTTTCCAAAGACATTCACCTCCTTTAAAGTTTAAACAACACCTGCCCCTTTTCTCTCCAGATTGCTTTTCTATAATATTCCACAATCTATACCTCTCCAATGAGAGGACCTTTTCAAAAAAATAAAATATAATCTCTCCATCCCGTACCAGCTATGCCACTTTCCCATCAAGGCTTGATTAAACAAATTAAAACTCTGTATTCCCAATCCTCCCATCTGAAGAGATTTGCACACCTTCTCCCAATTCACAAAGTGGAACTTGAATTCATCTCCTATTTCTCCCCACAGAAGTTTCTTTTCAACCTCTCAACTCTTTTGTTACAGAAAAGGGAATCTAAAACAAAGAAAGAAAGGAAGTTGGTAGGTTTGAAAGGGTGTTCTTAATAAGAGTAAGACAACCCCCCTTAGATAAATAGTTTCTTCCACACAGCAATCCTCCCTCCAAGACTTAAGCACATCAGTTGCATAGGCCGGTAACACCCAATGCACCCCAAGAGAAGATGGCTCACTGACTGCGCATCTCTTTTTTTTTTTTTTTTTTTGATAAATAAAGAAAATATATTAAAAACATGCTCAAAAGGGCAGCGCTCCCAACGCCTCATCCTCAAATGTTACAGCATTAAAATCCTCCCCAAAACCACTGTTTACCCCCAAAAAAAAGTCACATTGAGGAGGGATTACTTCTTCCATATCACTTTCCAACTGAAAACTGCTGTCTAACCAGTGTCTGCTGATATAGCAAGCCAAAGAAAGATACGACCATAGCCTGCTTGTCCACGTATGTTCCCAAACAATCTTGGGAATAAGCATGTAAGAGGTCTATAACCAAACCAACCATCCAGCCAAAATTGAATGTGTCCCCCACGCCTAACCTTGAATTGAACATGCTTTGAACACACAACTCAACCTTTATGAATATTTTTCCAAAGGCATTCACCTCTTTTAAAGTTTAAACACCACCTGCCCCTTTTCTCTCCAGATTGCTTTTCTATAATTTTCCACAATCTATACCTCTCCAATGAGACGACCTTTTGTTTTTTTTTTTTTTTTTTTTTTTTGATAAGTATCCAAATCTCCATCCCGTACCACCAATGCCACTTTCCCATCAAGGCTTGATTAAACAAATTAAAACTCTGTATTCCCAATCCTCCCATCTGAAGAGATTTGCACACCTTCTCCCAATTCACAAAGTAGAACTTGAATTCATCTCCTATTTCTCCCCACAGAAGTTTCTTTTCAACCTCTCAAATCTTTTTGTTACAAAAAAGGGAATCTAAAACAAAGAAAGAAAGGAAGTTGGTAGGTTTGAAGGGTGTTCTTAATAAGAGTAAGACAGCCCCCCTTAGATAAATAGTTTCTTCCACACAGCAAGCCTTTTTCTCAAACCTATCCACCACTGGCTCCCAAATTAAAGTAGTCTCGATGATGCTCCCAGAGGCAAACCCCAATAAAACACCAGGGAAGGCCCCCACACCACAGCTTAAGATGCTAGCTAGAGTGGATACATTGTTGACCTCTCCCATCAGAACAATCTCCCTCTTTTTAATATTAATCTTCAGCCCTGAAACTGCTTGGAAACATACCAACACATATATCAAGTGCCTCAATTGATCCTCCACTGTATCACAAAACAAAATAGTATCGTCTGCAAAGAGAATATGAGAGACCTCTAAGCGGGTATCCTCATTCCTGCCCACCCCGAACCCCCTGAAACATTCCCCTCTTCATCGACCTACTAAAGGGCTCCGTCACCGTAATGATCAAAAATGGAGACAAAGGGTCTCCCCATCTAAATCGTCTAGAGTTGCTGAAGAAGCCAGCAGGGAACCCATTCACCGTAACTGAAAATTTCACTGTTGAGATGCAAAAATGAAACCACTTTCTCCCCTGGTTAGGTATTTCATATGCAGCATTTAACTGCAGAAATTGAGCATGCAGGGATGAGGAACATTTGATAATCTTCTCAGTTGCAAATCTTGATATATACAAGTGAGTGATCCCCCTCAATGTACATGCTCAGTCATAGAAACCAAGTGTTAGCTTTAAATCATGATGTGATCATTATTTTTTGCAATTGTCATCTATAGAGTAATCCTGTGTTATATATATATATATTTTTTATAAAAAAAAAAGGAAAAAAAAAAAGTACACAGTAATGAAGCATTCTTGTGTTAAGTGTTTCTCCAAAATAAACAATGAATAAAAACCACTTACTGAGTTCCTTTCTATGCAGCACTTCTTCAATAAAGAACCCCCCTCACAAGGCATTTCCATTCTACAAGACTACACACACACATACAAAGATATATATATATATATATGACTCACCGTTTTGGCAATCATCGCTATGCCTTGGCATTTTGGCCTCGAGTGGTAGCATTGGTTAGCATCTTTCGTGAAACTTTTCCCTATAACAGAAAAGAATAAATTTTTTTATTTTTTATCTTTTGTAGGCGACACCATGCCAGTATCACTCTCATTCGGTCCACTCTCGTGAGTTCTCCAATTTACTACTTCTTCAACTCACCAAGTTTACAATCTATTTGTGGCAACTTCTAAAGTTACTATAGTCTAGTGGTTGATGTGAATCCAGCAAACAGAAACAAATAAATTTCTTATAATTTCATAAATCCACCTACCTAAACCATAGTAGCCATGCAATGAGTTCTTAGTCTGTTACCATTTTTTGTGACAATTTTGTGGGAGAATACTCTCTTCAAAATGTCCTCCTCACATATGTATCACTAAAGCCAGTCTTCTTTCCCACTCTAATCCCTAATACAATGCATGAAATATTAGTTTCATACCCCCAATACTGCAATTTCTGAAACTGTCACCAATCTTGATACTCTTAATAAATTGTTATATATATATATATATTAAATTCTTCCAACATGATGAGTTCAGTATCTTCAATCTAGCAACTATATCGTATTAAATCCAACTGAGTAATCCACAAACTCTGCTCAATCTAGTAAATTTCCCCACAAGCTCATTGTCCGTTAAAGCATCTTCAAAAGTCAAATTTTTATTTTGAATTACTGTTTCCAAAATATAAACACCTTTTACATGTTACTGAAGTGAAGAAGTTACAAGACCATTCAGTCCATTCCCCAAGTTTCCAAAGAATGCAAAAAAGTAAATAATGAGACAGTATATGACCACTTCCTTTATGATGAATGGAAAACCATGTTTAGTGTAACAGGGATTATCTTGGTTGCTGGTCAGGGGTTCTCCACCTTTTTAAAGTGAAGTTACTTGAGTTATGGAGGACATTATGCAAAACTTTTATAGGATATTTTGAAGAGAGAGAGAGAGATGCTAGTTCACATAATCAATTTGGAAAGCAAGAGATGGATATGGTTAGCACTTCCTTCCAGATCCCAATTTTAGCAACCATGGAGTTCCAGAACACTACTTTTCATAAGTAACCGAAAGCTGGAGAACTTTAGCATCCCCTTACCAAACTACCGCCTGTTATACAATATATGTGAATACAACTTGGCCTAGGTGGCGTCAGATTAGAAAATTGATGTGACTGTTTCATAAATTCCTTAATAAGGTTTTAGTGGTCTTTACAGAGAGCTGAGGACCTGTTATAAAGGCCTAGTATTTAGCTTATTGATTTTTTGTCAAAGTGGAAAAAATTCCTACAAGATAAAATTGGCTAGGGACCTGAACAGTTTACAAATGTGCAGGGCAAGCAAGACCTTTGAGAAGATTTAAAATATCAAATGTTTTCTTTTTTTATATATATACTTTGAACACTGATTAAGCATTTGAATCATAAAGTTTAGACTAAAAATCAGATAGAAGCCTAAAACTGATATCATTCTACAAAAAGAGACCTCCCTGTTAATGAACATGCTCAAACAATGCAAATTTAATTCAATGCATAAGCAGACATTGGACCATGACTTACAGGATCTGGATGACGCTCTGTCTTGTGTCTTTTCTTACCCATGCAAACCCAACTTCCGTCTGCATCAATTGATACAAACCCTGACAGATTCTGAACAGATATCACCACCACCTCCCTGTAAATAATGACACATACAAAAGTACACGCAATACACCACAATCATTACCAATAAAACATGAAAACATAAACGAAAACTGAATTTTGAATACTAGGTGTGTGATAAGCTCAGTAGAGTGAAATGAAGTCATTGTTTTTCTCAAATCCCAATGTCCCAATTCCAAGCAATGAATTATCTTCTCAAAGTTCAACTTTTTTTTTTTTTTCTTCTTTCTAATCTTCCAATATTTTCTCTGAAAACAAACAAGACTATAGAAAATCATTACAGAATTGAACTTGATATAATGAAGGAATGAAGATTTAGATACCCTTTGGTTACAAGAACCATATCAATATTCTGCCGTGAGCCCGTATCCGCATCTGGAATTCGAAGTCCAATGTAGACTTTACCACCATGAAGCTTTTCAAGCCTATCGTCAGCAAAGGCACAAAATACACCATCAAATTATCGAATCAAGAAAATACCTTTGGTTTGTAAGAAAAAACGAAGGAAATGAAGGAAAAGAAAAGGATAAGAGGGAAAATATATATATAGAAAATGTAAAACCCAACTCATCTTAAGACTCTCAGTTGAGTAATGGGTTTTAGTCCTTCGAGCAGAATCACTGGGTTCCTTCTCTTTTCTAACGTTTTCTGAGCAACCAAACAGAATATAAGGACATAAAAGATTTGAGAAATTGACATAAGATACCTATCGGCGACGGAGAATAGGGCCCTGGAATCGGTGGTTTCAACTTCAGCGACATCATCGTCGTAGAAGAAACAACGGAACAATAGGTAGATTATGAGACCACAAATCAGCTCCAACCACATGCCTCCCGCCAAATGAATCGATTCCACCGTTAAAAGAACGAATACTCAGAGAAATTGAAGTTGGTTTAAGGGAGAAACAAGATTCTCTCGGGAAGAAGTTTCCGGAAAAACATTTTATATTACTCCGAAAGTTGATTCTCGTTCAGCCGGAAAAGCCAGCTGTTAGACGTGGTCGGTGGCGTGTGAACTAGCAGTGCTACGGTATGAGCATGGCCCATGCTATTACTATGTGTTAGCAATTCCATGTTCATTAGTCAAGTGAAGTGTGCTCCAGTCCATGCAGTCCAAAATTTTCTTAGCCCAGATTTTGCCACGTCACCCTCTTAATTAATCCAGGTTCAAGCTTGATTTTGTTTCACCCTCCCACGGTTAAACCCAAATATTGAAAATTTTGACCCAAATTGTTTTGAAACCATTTTCAAACTTGGTCAAATATTTTCAAACCCGGTCAAACCTTCTCAAAATCCCTTGTTTCAGCCACTGTAGTAACCAAAGACACCAAACCACATTCATTCACTTTTACTTTCGGCTTCGGCGCCGAGGCCTTCCCCAATTCCCTAATTCAGCCACTGTTCATCTTCCCCACTTCTCAAAATCCCTAAGTTTCAGCCATTGTAGTAACCAAAAGACACCAAACCACATTCATTCATTTTTCGCCTTCGGCGTCGAAGCCTTCCCCAATTCCCTAACTTAGCCATGGTTCATCTTCCCTACTTCTCAAAATCTCTAAGTTTCAGCCACTAGACACAAATTAAGCCACTATAACGACTTTCGCTTGGCCCAGATTTTCCCAAAATTCTTTTCGCCTCGTTTCCAATTGAAAATTCAAGGGTTTGATTCTTTTTCTTCACCATCCGGAAGCTTTGTCCCTCTTTTTCCTATTCGGCCTCTCCACGGCCTCTCTAATGTTGAAAAAAACTCGTAATGGTCATAATTCCTCAGATAAAAGGTAAACAGGTCCAATTTACGACCCCTTTTAAGACCGATACGGAGGATGATAGCCACTATCCTTTCGACCCTATGGCTTCTTCTCCAGAAGATGATAGTTTTGATGAAGAATATGTTGATGAAAGAGTCAGGAGCTCTAAAAAAGAGAATGGAAAGCCTAAACGGAAACGGGATAGAGTCGGGACTTCTCAAAAAGCAAAGCCATGTCGTGCAGGAGCCTTCTTCAGATTTAGGTAACTGTTATTTTCACAAATTCGGTAGAACATAAATGTGTAACATAGAAGTCTCATAATACTATGTTGGTGGATAAAACATAACGTCTAAGAGATATGTTCTCACACAAAATTAAGCCAAAACATAGACGTTTCTATGATAGTAATAAAATACAAGGGATAAAATACAGTGGAGTAAAACCATTGCTGTCAAATATATGGCACCAAAACAGCAATTAACAAATCACTGTTCTTGTGCTTCGTGAAAACAGACACTAATCCATAATCAAATCCTGTCACCACAATCAAAGCCCTCTAATATTTTTATTCCTTACAAACACACAAAACATAAATCAATATTTGGAGAAGTCTAAATATGCTAACAACTGGTGTCAGTTTATCAGGTCTGAATGTTTTAAGAGAAACAACGTTAAGAGGAGTGATGCTTGGTTTGGTGTGTGCACTAAAATGTGTTAATTTTATAATATTAAAGGAATGTGCAAAGTGGGCATCAACTTTTATAATTTATAAAAGCCACTAAACACTTATACTATGAAGTATATTAAGAAGAGATTGTCCTTAGGAATTATGGGATGGAATCCAATTCAACATTAGTGGATGTGTAATGACCCAGTCATTTTCCTCCCTTTCCTTTTTTGGGGATTTTCTTTTTTCGTCTTTTTCCCGTTTATCATTTTTTTGCATAATCTCACTTTTTGTGCTCGGATTTGATTCCAGCTTTGCATGCATCCACGATATTTGATTTCTATAATATTTGTATTTTTAATTTCGTAGAAAATACATTCTAGTTGCTTACTTTTTCATAAAGGGCATGAATGCATACTGGTGTGGCGTCGTACCTATGCACCAAAAGTTTGCAAAATGATGTGGCCAAGTTTTACATTTATAAATGCCACTACTACCACTAACTAAAAATATAGCTAGGGTGAGTAGGGATTGTCCCAAGGGATTGGAGGGCTACTAGTAATGGAAACAATGCTTAGGGTTAGTAGGTTGAGTGATCAAAGGTAGATTGTTTAGTTGATTAAACTACAATTAAGTTGAAGCAAGCTCAATATAAAACAAGTAATTGAAGGATAGAGAAAACAAGAGAGAGAGATCTTGAGACTTAGAGATCACCACTAAGCATCACCTTTTTATATACTCAATTCATAATTAATGAGGGGGAAAACATATGTTGCAACAATAGTGAGTGTGTGTGGTTGTTTTAGCAAGCATAGATGACCAATTAAGTATATATTGTCTAAACAACACAATGAATAACACAATACATTAAACTAAGTCATTAATCCTTCTTTAAGCTCACAATCCAAACACATCACATAAATAGAGAAATATACTACTTGCATTCATAAGTATGGAACATCAAACAACAAGTATGGATTGTCCTCTCATTTAACAACTAAGGTAACTACACTACATCTAAGCTAATGACATGAAAATTAAACTAAAAGAGAGGCATAATCCATCAAGAAATGAGTATGAACCATCAAATAAACCACAAGAGCATTCTATTAAGCACTATATCTTGACAATCTCTAGATTTATAGCATCAACACACATAGACATGCATCAACAACACAAGAGATAGAGATAAACACATGAACATCTATTCTAACATATATAGACATATGGATAGAATGAAATGATTAATTGGAAGAATTAAACCACACAAATCATTGAATAAACAAGATCTATGTATATAAATATGTCAAAACATGTATTGCAACACCAATCCCCTCAAAAATACATAAATCAAGATAAAAAAAACATGTTTAGGGCCAACTCTAGCCCCAAGAGGATGTCTAGCCACTCATGAATGGTGTAGTCCAACCCTCAAGGGCTATCTCCATGGTAGAAATGCGTTTCTTCTTGAAGTAGATTTAAAACCTCCTAAGAATGTGTCTCTAGCCTCCTCTTTTTCTTTCTTTCTCTCTAAGAATACTAAAAAAATTGTATCTATCAACTCCTAAAAGCACATCAAAAACTATGTGTAAAAATGGCTCATAATCCTTATATAGGTAGCTCAAATGTCACACCCAATGGTCTAGGCTCGTACACAAGGGCTCCTCTAATGATTGCACAATGAGACAACTTTTAATAAGCTGGAAATTAATTTAATTCGCACTTGAGAGGGTTCGATCGATCGAACCTATGCTGAGATCGATCGAACTTGGCTGAGATCTATCAAACTTTGGCTTGATCGATCCTCCCATGGCGGCGCCTTTTTGGATAAGGACAGATCTGAGATATTTTGGGGAAAGAGACAAAAGTGGTAGGTAATCTTTTCGATCGATCTGAGAATTGTTGGATCGATCGAACTTTATGGGATCTTTGGATAAGGACAAAAGAGCTTGGATCCATCTTGGAGAGTCTAGATCGATGAACTTTCGATCGATCAAAGTGTTCTTGAGATTGATCGAACATGTTGATTTCAACACTTTGCTTCATTCTGCTTCCACTTTGCTCCTTTCTTCCATCCAGCTTGAGTAAGCTTCTTTTAAGCTCTTATTTGGCTGAATTAGCTTATTTTGGGGATAAGCGCTGAAAAGTGCGCATTTAACCCCCTTAAGCTTAGGTATTTTAGGACCTTTATCTATCTTACTTTCCCGTTTTAGACTAAGTTCGTGTTATTATCCCACTTCGATCGATCGAAAGTTCATCGATCTAAACTCTCTAATATGGATCCAAGCTCTTTTGTCCTTATCCAAGGATCCCACAAAGTTCGATTGATCCAACAATTCTCAAATCGATCGAAAAGATTCCATCTTATCTTGTTGTACCACCCTACCTACTACTTTTGTCTCTTTCCCCAAAATATCTCAGATCTGTCCTTATCCAAAAAGGCGCTGCCATGGGAGGATCGATCCAGCCAAAGTTTGATAGATCTCAGCCAAGTTCGATCGATCTCAGCATAGGTTCGATCGATCGAACCCTCTCAAGTGCGAATTAAATTAATTTCCAGCTCATTAAAAGTTATCTCATTATGCAATCATTGGAGGAGCCCTTGTGTACGAGCCTAGACCAGTAGGTGTGACATTTGAGCTACCTATATAAGGATTATGAGCCACTTTTACACATAGTTTTTGATATGCTTTTAGGAGTTGATAGATACAATTTTTTTTAGTATTCTTAGAGATAAAGAAAGGAAAATGGGAGGCTAGAGACACATTCTTGGGAGGTTTTCCATCTACTTCAAAAAGAAGAGCATTTCTACCATAGAGATAGCCCTTGAGGGTTGGAGGACACCATTCATGAGTGGCTAGATATCCTCTTGGGGCTAGAGTTAGCCCTAAGCATACTTTCTTTATCTTGATTTATGTATTTTTGAGGGGATGTGTGTTGTAATACATGTTTTGACATATTTATATATATAGATCTTATTTATTCAATGATTTGTGTAGTTTAATTCTTCCAATTGATCATTTCATTCTATCCATATGTCTATATATGCTAGAATAGATGTTCATGTGTTTATCTCTATCTCTTGTGTTGTTAATGCATGTCTATATGTGTTGATGCTATAGATCTACAGATTGTCAAAACATAGTACTTAATAGAATGCTCTTGTGGTTTATTTGATGGTTCATACTCATTTCTTGATGGATTGTGCCTTTCCCTTAGTTTAATTTCCATGTCATTAGCTTAGATGTAGTGTGGTTACCTTAATTGTAAAATGGGAGGACAATCCATGCTTGTTGTTTGATGTTCCATACTTATGAATGCAAGTAGTATATTTCTCTAATTATGTGATGTGTTTAGATTGTAAGCTTAAAGAAGGATTAATGATTTAGTTTGATATATATGTGTTATTCATTGTGTTGTTTAAACAATATATACTTAATTGGTCATCCATGCTTGTTAAAATAACCACACACACTCACTATTGTTGCAACATATGTTTTCCCCCTCATCAATTGTGAATTGAGTGTATAGAAAAGTAATACTTAGTGGTGATCTCTAAGTCCTAAGATCTCTCTCTCTTATTTTCTCTATCATGTAATTACTTGTTTTATATTGAGCTTGCT